CGCTCTTCATCTTTGGCACAATTTGTGTTTACTTTATACATTGTGTGTGCCTCCAAGAAGAGCGACCAATTGTTTTAAACGAAAATCCTGTTCACACCTGTTCTTCAAACACCAAATTAACATTCATAAGATAACAGCAATCAAATAAAACAGTGCCTAAGAAAGACTTAATATTATATCTTGATGTTCATTCAAGGGCTTCATCTTTTTGAACATTCTTTATATGAATTGGTTCCACCATGATTATCAGTCAAAAGTCAAAACCAACAAAAATCTGCAAGGTATGTCTCAAATTTTTTTCCTCCCCCAGAATAAACAAAATGCTGTTAAACACTAACTAAGCTACTTGGAAGGGTAATCATCATTAAATACTCCAATTTCCAACAGAAACAATAAAAAGACCGTGAATTGGTTCTACCATGATTACATTCCCATGCTTAGTGAAAAGTCAAAATTTACAAGTTATGCCCCAGATCTTTTACTTTCCTTTTCCCTGTCATATTTTTTCCTGATTCATTGAATAAACAAAATGCTGCAACTGACAATAAGGTTTAGTTGCTGAGAAAAAGTGTATGACCAACAAGCTATAAAAAAAAATAAAAAAAAAAGATTTCAAAAAATTAATCATAGTAAAAAGAAAAACAAAAACCACATTGACCCAACCCTAACACGAATACAACAACAACCACTCAAAAACAATTCGCAAACAAAGCACAATCAAAACTCCCACATCATTTCCATTCCCTCCCTTCAGCATTTCACTCCAAACTGAAATCAGAGAAACGATAACACAGCTTGAAAAGCCCACGTACGTAAAATTTGACCCTCCATACCCAAAGGAAAAAAGAAGAGAAATTTACGTAAACTTGAAGAAGCAATGCAGCTGGAGGCAAGATCCATAGACTGAGACACAACATCCTCAACAGAATGAAAAGAAAATACCTCAAAAGAAGAAAAAAATAATAATAAAGTACTGAGAAACACAGTAGACGATGAAGAATGAGAGAAAATGTTACCTTCGGAAAAAGCGAAGTGTGAGAGATCGAAAGAGCAGAGTGTGTTGATATAAGCAAAAGAGAGGAGCGTGGTGAGAGAGCGGGATCGAGACACAGTTCAAAACTTGAAAAGTCTCGACCTTCCACTTTTTTCCATTATGTCTAATTATTTATATAATTGAAATTATGAAAAGACAAGTTTTAATTTTACGTAATAAAAGTTCTGCACCGCATTTATTATTACCAGAGTAAAATTATTTTTTGTATTAATATGATTTTACTTTTTTGTAATGTTTTCTAATATTTTTTATATAATTAGTTAGAATGTATATTTGATATATAAAAGAAAAAACATATTTTTGGTTCGATCATAAATTATTAACTTTTATAATAATTATATTTAAAGTCGTATATAAAATGGCTTCCTAATTCTAATAAGGAAAAATTACATGTATGGTAATTTTGCATAAAATTATTATAATCGAGAGAAAAATATTGAATTACATACGTTTTTCGTTTCATTTTATTTGACATTTTAGTGAAAAAATAAAATATTTCAATTCAATTGCTATCTGTTAATTTATATATAAAGGAAGCATTAAACATATTTATTATATATATATATATATATATGATGGAACGAGAAAATATAAAAGGAATATAAAGGGAGAAAATAGTAAACATAAAAGATAAAAAGTGTATTAAGAATTTATACAATAAATTTTATTAAAATTTAAAATTTAGTGTATGAGAAAAACCTTCAATATCAAATAAAATAAAACGGAAGTAGTTGATAAAATAATAATAAAAAAGGAGTTATAGAAATGTATTCTAAAAATAATAATATTTTTCTATAAATAAAAGATTGTTCGTGAGATGAATGGAATATCTTTTCACATATTTTATTAATAAGTTTAAATATGTCTTTATTTCTATAAAGTGAGTGAATTTTGATTTTAATTTTTATAACTTTTTTATTTTTTTATTTTTCTAAATTTTAAATTTATTTTTTTAGCCTCAAAAAAATGAAAATATTTTGATTTTATTTTTATAAAATATTTTTTTATTTTCATCTTTCTAAAATCTAAAATAATTATATTTAATTTTTAATATTTATTTTAAGATAGATAAATAACATTTATTTTTAAAAAAATTATAAAGGTGTCACATACTAACAATCAATATAGTTGTAAGTTTTATTAAAAATAATCCCTTGAGTATATGATAAACACAAAAGTACTTAAAAATTAAAACAATTATATGATATTATGAATTAAAAACAATAATTTTAATTTTTAAAAATAAAAATTTTACAGAAGTAAAAATAAAAAATAATTCATTTTACAAGAATTAAAAACATATTAAAATCTTACTAATATTTAATTTTTATATTTGTTAATATTTTATTTGTAGTAATTATAAGTCAACATAATATAATTAGAACAGTTTGTCTGTATGTGAATTTTGTAGTTAATTAAGTTTAAAACTTATGTAATAAATAAATATTTGTAGTATATAATACGTTTGATTTTATAAATATTATCTAATCCATTATTTTAGTTTCTTAATTTATAAAATTTATAACTTTTGTTTGATCGTTAAATGTGTATTTATTAGTTATTAAAATTATAATATCGATTATGATGAAACATTAAACAAATAATGAAAATAATTAATATGTAATACTATTAAAATAAATTATAATCTTTTATTATTAATGTGTAATTTTATTTTTTAAGTATCTAATTTTAGTCTAAACAAAATTTATGATTTAAAATATAATAAAAGTGATTGAGAGGGAATTTAACCAATTGATTTTTTTTCCTTTACAAAATTTTCCCCTTTCTATCACCACCTAGTTCAGTAATTCATTTATATTTTTAACTCATAATATAAAATTCCATTTTATATATAACAAAAATAAATAGACTAAACTATATTTTTTTTATCTTCTTTAATATTCAATTTACAATTTTTACTTTCAAATTTAATTATGCAATACTAGTCAAATTATATTAATATTGAATTATTAAAATCATAACATTTATCAATATTAGATAAATAACATGATAATTAATATTTAATAATATCAATTCTCAAATGTTTTATTTATTGACACCTGTTCAAAATCACAAATAAGAATAGATTAATTAAATGAGACGTTAAACTTGTAAAAAAAAATATATTATTTTTAGTAAATTTGTATGGATAATAAAGAAAGCATTTGGAAGAAAATGTCTCTAGTATTGAACTATAATTTTGTGCAATTTTTTTTTATAATTTATAGAAAAATTAAAAAGAAAAACAGCTATATTCAGTAAGGTAGTTGATATATTTAAAAAATGAGTTACAAAATGTATTGTAAAAAATATATTTTAAAAAATTTCATAAGTGTATGAGTTACTATTATTTAACTCATTTTACGAAAATGTCTCTAGTATTGAATTGCACTATAATTTTGTGCAATTTTTTTTTATAATTAATAGAAAATTTAAAAAGAAAAACAGCTATATTCAGTAAGGTAGTTGATATATTAAAAAAATGAGTTACAAAATGTATTGTAAAAAATATATTTTAAAAAATTTCATAAGTGTATGAGTTACTATTATTTAACTAACATATTTCACCTATTTTACTAAAATTTGATTTTTCCACGTATTTAACGAGTAATTACAAGTCAGCGATATATAATTACAATTAGTTTGTTTAGTTGAATAAAAAAACTATTTTTTTTACCTGTGAATTTTATGAATTATTCAAGTTTAACATTCATTTAATAATTAAATATTGTGAAAATGTTTGATTTAGTCATTTTAGAAATAAATTTAATGGAGGGATTAAAAAAATAAACTAATTAAAAAAATACTTATAATTTAGATAACATAATAAAGACTCGTAATTATTTTTTTATTTATAAGAAAAATTACAACAATAATATTAAAGGTTTCTTGATGTTTCAATCAAACTTTTTATCATAATATTGTCTGTGAGAGTTGAATAGTTTACATGTAATTCTAAATTCAAACCTAGTAGTTGCTACTAATAAAAAAATATATTATTTATTTATAATATAATTTTTTATTTGTAATATCATTTAGATACAATTTTAATTGAAGTAATTAAAATTTAATTAAAAATATTAAATAAAATTTTATACGGCATATAATATATTATTAAAGTGGTATTTCATGAAACTACTAATGTCACACAGTGAGTCTCTTAGTGTTGGTGTTGTTTTTAAATTATATGTGTTGAGGTTGGTAAGTTGTTTAGTGATGGGAAGGTGAGTTAAAGAATTTCTCATAAGTTTTCTGTTAATTGAGAGTTTTTTTTTAGACAGAGATCGTGTTTGATCCTGAGGGGAGAAGTATATAAGGTTTATGTTTCATAATGAAATTTCATAAGTTTTGTTCTAAGAAATCTTAGTGAGTGAGAGAGAACCCCTAAAGAGAAAAGCTCCAAGTTTTAACTTCTTCTTCTTCTTCTAGGCTCCCTGAACTAGTGAGATCAGTTGCGGAGTGTTGGTTCACATCCTCAGAGTTGAGTCATTGTGTTGCTAATGAAGAGTGTGAAGCTCGTCTTCCTCTTCTTCTACCTTAGAGTAGCTTGGAATGCTTCTCCAGTTTCACCCCATTCTAAGGTAAAGAAAACTAGAATTCTCACTTAATGGAGTTGTTGAGTTGTTAATATGATTATGAACTAAATGTCGTTAGACTCTTGGAGATTCATAGCTCAGTGGATTGATTTCATAGTGGGTTACATGTTGAAATTTGGGTTTTTGGTGTTCATGATGAAAGAAGAAAGATTTGATGCATTGGTTGATGAGTTGGTTTTGCATGTTGATTTATAGATGATATATAATGAGTTATATGCAGGAATTGAGTGAGATTGAGAGAATTTTAAAATTTTAAGGGGAGGGAAATTTCTTAAGTTGATGAGTTGTTTTTTGATATTTATGCATGTTTTTAGGTTTACTCGCTTAGAGCGTCACTAGGGTCGCTCAAAGCAAGCAAGTGTGACCAAATCAGAGGTAATCTTTAACTTGGCTTGCTTAAAATGAATTGTGAATGCTCATAATGAGATTCAATGGCTCAAAGCAAGAACTTACTTAAAGCGAGTTGACATGGTGTTGTAAGGGTAGTCTTTATCTACCATCACTTAAAGTGAATTATGCTCACTTAGAGCGAGGGATGGCTTGCTTAAAGCAACTAGATTGAGACTCCTTAGGGTGTTCTCTATCTAGGCTCGCTCTAAGCAGATTCTAGATGCTCAAAGTGAGTTTTTGTTGCTTAGAGCAAGCCCAATGGTGCTTTAAGTGCTGGTTCACTATGTATTTTGGAGTTGCTTGGCTATGTTGTGTGAGGTGGAATTAAGGTAATTTTATTGTATGTTAATTGATGAACATGAATAAAGTATATAGATCTGTTGCATGTGTTGAGATAAAATTGTTGCTCGTGTTATACATGTTGATTTGTGAAGATGATGATTAGGTGTATATGATGTTAGATGAAAGTGGAGTTGAATTGTATGACGTATAATTTTGTAATTGTGTTGAAGATGTATAATATATGTTATGAGTTGTGTTGATCAACCTAAGACTAGATGAGAGGTTGTTTTAAAGTTGCATATCTCATTATGCGGATATTGTGTTGTGGTGCTCCGACAATTCAATTTTGTTGAAAACTCTTATTGAAAAGTTGACCTTTGAAGAGGATAATTGAGTCTCCTTCGCACCTTAGTTGGTACCGTGTGTGGACAAAGTCAAGGTGCACGTGTATAAAGCGACAAATTGAGTAAAGTATGAAGTTAGGAATTTAGTTCCTAATCGAGTATCAAAATGGTGTAGTATTTGAAGAGTAATTGATGAGTTAATCCCATAGAAAGCTTAGTTAAGTTAGCTAATGTCATGGTAACCCCATATGTAATTTCTCTACCTTGACAGTAGTACTAGACTTCCTTGTTTAAATGGCGACATTTGAGAAACCAAGTTGTTGTGTTGTTGATTGATATCTAATTTGCTGTTTACCTAGCAAGTCAAAAAGATCACCTTGTGTTATTGGTTCGATAGAATCAAACCACTTAAACTATTCACCTCATGTTATAGGAGATCTCTTAGTTGAAATGTAGTTGTTGTGTTGTATATATCGTGTTTTTGATGAAAAATTTAAGCTATTGATGTAATAATATTCAAGTTGATATTGTGTTGTAGTAGACTAAGTTGTTCGTGTCGATATATGTTGGTTGTGTTGAGATTCTGTATGTTGATAGTGTTGAAGGTGTAGTAAAGATGTGTTAATATATTAATGTTGGTGGTGGTTGTGTTGTATATATGTTGTCTCTTAAAACTCTAACTTACCATTGCATGTTTCAATGTAGATGAACTATGATGATTATATTTAATATGTAAGCAGAGCATGGATAAGTTTATGTCGAATCTATTTTGGAGGCCATATTGAGATTGACAATGCTGATATTTTGAGCTATCTTAGAGTAGCTAGTTGATAATAACAATTGTTTAACTGACAACTTAGATTGTGTAATTTACTTTTATTAGATCATTGTATTTATATCATTTATGTTTGTATAGTTGTTTCACTTTCATGTGTATGGTATACAATACATGATCAAATATCAATAAACTTATAATTCTAAGTTATTGGTTGTTATTCACTGTTAATATAGAAATTATGATGGATCATTACAACTAAGGTTAGCCTAATAATAAGAGTTGAAAGTAATATAAATTAAGTCTTTAGTTTGAATTCACATCATGTAATTCTTATAAATAAATAAAAAATTGACATTTCATGTTGTTAAATGATGAGAATATATTGATATTAGATAGTTAAAACCTATTTAGTATGAGAATGAGATTTCCAAGTTTCTTCGTCCATCAGATTGGATTATACAAACCCAAAATTGATTAATTAAAATTGTAGTTAAAATACTTGTTCTCCATGAGAATATTTACTAGATTCTATTGCATCACACCTTGTCTAGCAACACAAGGCATAGCACAATTGGAAATGAAATCTTAATAAGATTAATGAATGAATGTTGCCCCTTATATCTATATGTAACATAGGATATTAATTCCCTCCTCTCCCCAACAAAAAGTATGGCAATCCTATCGCTTTGGCATGCCGAGTAAAAAAAATTGGTTGAAACCTCTACTTTTCTTGAATGTTACATGCAAATTTCTAATTAAAGTTGTGCTTCAACAAATCGCTTGTTAATTTCTCTGCCGCTTTACACTTGTGTTTGGAGAATCTACCTTGTGTTGTTATACTGTGGATTGTAAGATGACTTTGTAGTGTCGTTAATTTGAAAGGGATTGGGGAAGTCCTGAATAAATCATAACCTATGCTTGCATAGCCAATGACTTGTTCAATCTGTTATAGATGTACCTGTGATGAGAGAATTAAATAACTCAAATACATGGCAAGTCTTTCAGCCTTCAACATTGATGTAAACTCAATAACATATACATGTGGTTAAATAACATTTCGACACTCAAACGTGAACAACTTTTAATCTTTCTTGTAAGAGAAAATCACTTAGGAAAGTAAAAGAAATTACCTCAGAAAGATCAATCAAATTCAACACCCGCAGTTTGAAATTCGAAAGCTCAAGTGTTCGGTTCGTTCAAACTGGGGTCCTCCATGCACGCCACCATAAACATGTCTTCCAACACCGGAACACAAATGCATGCAAATCTCTTCAACGTGACATTTTTTCATGCACACTTAAAACTTAATTTTTGAAATGTATTAAATTATAACACCCCTCGACAATTAGTTGGAATGTATTCCTCTAACTGATTTTTTAAAACTATATCAACAGTCAAGATATATTTTTAAAAAAAATTAAATAAGGAGAGAAATTATTACATAGTTTATGATTCTGATCAATCTTGATGTCCCATATAATTTGTCACATAAAAATTGATTAGAACCATAATTTAAGATCATGTAACAATTTCTCCTTCAAGGAAAAGTGTAAACAACAATTGCCAAACTTAAATCCATGCACAAACCAAGCTTAAAACAACCATGATTGACAAAAATGATTTACAATGACTGTTAGCAACAACAGCCACAGTGTTCTTCATTATTGGGATGTCATAAACAGGAGTCATATTGGGCCAGAAGAGCCCAAAGTTCCTCTCACATATTGGACCAGGCTTTAAATTTTCATTAAACAAAGCAAAAATGTAAGTATCAAATGTTCTGTTTGGCATGAGAGGTGTTCCAACCCCAGAAGTGACATGGCGTATGAGATTTCCATTATACTCAGAAGCAGTCTTGGGGTCAACACCGAATTGGGCCGGATCACCCACAGAAGGCCAGCCCGTTTCAGCAATAACAATCTCCACATCCTCAAAGCCCAAAACCTTGATTGCTGAATAAACAGCATCAAGTTGTGCATCCAACATGTTTGTGTATTGGAGCTTAGTGTCATCATCAAGGACCCCAGAATTGGTTCTGAAAATTGCATAATCAAGTGTGCTGGAAGAGCATCCAAAAAAAGGGTATGGATTAACCATAAAGGGTGCATTGGAATCTCTAAGAAAATTAAGCATTGGTTTAAGCACATGTGTGTCATAACCTTGCCTAAACTTGGCACTAGAGGGTGGACTTGAGTTTGACAAAATGCCTAAAGAGTGTGGTGTGGACACTTTAATGCTATTGTCTAATGATGCTTCCATGAGGGCTGTGTGAAGGGTTTGCATGGCAGGGACAAGGTTGCTTATTAGAAGCTTGTTGGCAGTGGATAACACTTCGTTGCCCACAAGGATTCTGATTAGTTTGGTCTTTGGGATGAAAGGTTGAACATTGGTTTTGACCCATTGTTGAGCATAGGTTATGTTAGTGATGTGTGGGATTTGGTCGTTGGCGACTGTTATGGTTACCTCTATTCCAGTGTCAGCAAAGGCATGTAGAATTTCTGGGTTGGCATCAAAGAGTCTCACCCTATTGATTGTGGTGGATTTTGATAGAAATTTTGCAACCTCAGCAGGTGGAGGAAGGTTGTTTGCCACTGTGCCATAATTAACACCAATTCCAATTCCAATCCCTTGCACTCCTGTGAGTTAGTCAAACATGAGATGAATAACAACATAGAAATAAAACTTACAGTAGTACTATAAATGTTATTGATACTGTACTTTAACTAGCTTGAGTTTTACCTTAATTATATGTGTTAACATTCAAATGAATCTTTTATTACACATATTACTGAGAAAAAAACTTTAATTTTAATTAAAAAATAGTACTAGTAATACTTATTACTGTATTTGAGTTTATTCTATAATAGAATGGACTATGGAGAATGAATGTTACCTTGGATAAGAGCTAATGCAACAACCACGACCAAAGTAGTTGCATTGAGTATAGAAGCCACAACAGATGTTTTTTGCTCCATGGCTTCTCTAGCTGTGATAAAGAAGTAATCTCACTGGATGATGGGTAATTGAGTCCATGATGAAGTAAACATGAGATGCTTTGCTTGCTCTATTGCATCTTCTCTTTTTCCTTTGAATCTTCTCTCTTTTTTCTCCCCCGTTAGTGACATTTAGTATAAGAAAATAAAACCTGCCTCGGAATTAGAGTACGGTTAGCATCTCAAACTGAAGCTTATTGTAGAATTCATTGTGTATATTATATATTAATCAATGAGTGTAACGAAAGTAAACAGGAAGATAGGGGAATAATCTTTCCTTGCGAGGATGGAGAAGAAGGTTTTGTCAAGCAACCTTCGTCTCTTAACAAACATATAAACAAAGGGAAAAAGGAGAAAAGAAAGTCATATCGAAATCTATTATCAAAGAGGGAGAGTAATAGATCTAAACAAAAATATGGTACGGGAATCTGCATTGTGAATTTGGTAGATATGTATCAATTATAGGAGGTGTGTTGTCCAAAAAATTTGAACCAATTAGTGTTCATTCCTCTGTTGAAAGATTACTTTATAATTTAAATTTAAATTATATATATCCATTTAAATTTAATTAATATCCTAGTTATTATCTGTTACGTGCAGCCCAAGTCTTCACTTTTATTTTATTTAATCAATTTCTGTTTTAATATTTTTAATTAGTTTTAATGATGTTTTAAGAATTAAATCCATTATTTGGTGTAAGTTGTAGGTTTGTTTTTGGTGCACTTCCTTCTTTTGTGTAAAAAGATTTTGGAACTGTGCATACTTTAATATATGTATAGATTTTGGTATTGTGTCATACTCTAGTCTATGTATACTCATGTATGAGTAAAAGATATAGATAATAATTGATTCATCTCTCTTTTTAAAAATTATTTTTAATATTATTAAATCTTTTTAAAATGATGTTCTTGGATTTAGAAATTTTTTACTGCACACAAATAACTTAATACAAATTAATTTATCAGCGAAAATATTTTATCTTTAAGAATAATATTTAAGCGTGTTTCAATCAAATTATCTCTAAACTCTTATTCTTATTTATTTTAGTCTTTGTTATTTTAATTCATTATATATTAATGTTCATCTTGATTTAATTTTATTGATAAATAATATTTATAATTTTTCTATTTCCATGTTTATAACCCCTTTATGCTTATGTATTATATACATTTTAAGTTATATTTACTTATATGATGAATACGTTTCATGAGTTCTTATGTAGTTTTTGATTTGTCTTTTCCTTCATATCCTATCCAGCTGAATAGCTGGCTCCGGAATTGGAAAAACACCAAGAATACAAGTCTATTGCGAAGGCTTAACTGGATTTGTCATCATTCACTTGTTTATATAAAAGCTTCACTTGGTTTGATCCTTCTTCCAATATGTTGTATATATATAGTGCATCTCATTCATATGTCATAATACCAAAGTTCTATTCATGAAAAAATAGTCTTCAACTAGATTTACTAATTAAAAGAAGACACTACAGAAAATATCAGGTTGTCAATAAAAATTAATTATTAATAAAGTTAATGAATATTTCACACAAAAATTAATTATTAATAAATTTATGAATATTTCACACTAATAACATGATTATTTAAAATATATATATATATAATTTCTTTTAAATTTTTAAATTTTAAATTTTAAATATGTTTTTCAACAAAAAATCTCTTTATGAAGATCAAACTTTAAGTTATATATGATGTTTTAGACATATACTATGTTGCTTTGTGGAAAAATTGAAGATTTTATGGTGTTACTTGTGTGTCATTTTGAAATGGTGGTGAATGTGTGATTATGTTGTAAGTTGAGAACATGTTGTGCAGTGTAGTTAAGTTGTAGTATAGTTAATTAATTTTTTGATACTTAATTGATTATTTGTATATCCTACCCTTGCATGTTTTCTGGTAGTTGGATTGTAATGATTATGTTTACATGAGAGCATGACCGGAATAAGTTTTAAGGAGTTGATAGTTCTGTGGGTCATGTTGAATGATAGTGTAGTTAAAAATTACTTTTATATAGATGTTGTTTGATTGACAACTTAGAATTTTTATTTTATAATTTATGAACTATTATACATGTGCGTGTGTATGTTTGTAAAGATATTTTATTTTCCTAATTAATTTACACTTATATATAGTATGATACTTGTATCTAGATGATGTGAAATACTAAAATCCTAAATATTTTAGTTATTTTTGGTTGTTAGTTATTAATTCTATTAAATGTAAAATCATGGTCAATTGTTACATCCACATCCTATTTTAATGTGTATTTTTATTTATTTATTATTATTATTTATGAAAGTGCCCTTGACCCACCCAATGCGACTGATTGATCCACTAGGGCATTGGGGGTGGGTCATGGATTTGAAAACAGCATAACATAATTTCTGTACTCAGAACCTGAAACATTTCCAACTTCCAACCTTTACATTCATTTATGGTTGCATTATTCCAACCAAGTTAATAGTGACACCAAAATCATAAGATTCAAGTAAGGACATGTATTGCCAACACATCATAATTCTCAACTACGCTAACGTCCTCTCTGTGTACGACAGGATGAATTCATACTAATATAGTAATATCAAATTTTGTTGTTTTAATTGCAAAATATGAAATTGATGAACAAGTGCTAGAAAATTCACACTCTGGTTGTTTTAATTAATTGATCAGACAAACTATAATTTAAATATAGTGTGCTTGAATTATTTTTTTTTCATGTAATTAAAAAGTTTAGAATATGTTCCCTTACAAGTTCAAGGAAGACCGCTAATATTAACAAAGAATTAATCATTTATGCATTGTCAATGTAAAGTTTTTTACACTGACAAACAATCATATATTTTAAATTATTTTATTTTATTTTTAGTTCATTAAATAAGTAAATGACATGACACTATCAAAAGATATGATTAGTTGTCGGTATAAATAAACTTTACAATGACAGTGTATATGTGATTAACTTATTAACAAATATATAATGAAATTTATATATTGTTCGTCAACTAAGAAAATATAGTGGAAGGAAGAATGGTTTGACTCTTTTAAAAATAACAACTTTTCTAAAAAAGGATTTTGATGCTAATTTTGTATTTAATTTTTCTTAAGAAATATGTATTATATTAAAAGACAAATAATATGTTATAGAAAAATTTATTAAAAAAAATAACATGTATGTAACTCTTTTTTATATGAAAAAAAAGAGAGTATTTAAACCTTAATTTAAAATTGTTGGCGAAAAGGAAAAGAATTATTATGGGTTTGACAATATGAGGGCCCAGCTCCAGCGGGCTGCGGCTACAGCTTATCCAATTAATGCAAAGTCACCCATTGGCGGCTTTTGTAAAGGCCCACCAAATATTTTTTTTAATTATTAAAATTTTTCCTTAAGCATTGTATTTTACTTGTATTTTATTTTTAATAAATATACCACTTAAATGTATATTTATATTTGGTATGATCATGTTTTTCGTTTTTAAAAATTATTATATCTTATTAATTATATGTAACCGCCGTCAAAAACAATAGACGGAAGCATTGATTTTGAATGAATCAATAAATTAACTAAACCTATTTTTATATAAAAATGACTTAATTAATATCGTTATTAAGGAAAATGATTGTTTTAATTGATAGCATTGAATTTATCTTCTTTAAAAATAAAAATAAATAAAAACTCCCAGCTACTTGCTCTGCCAATTAATTATTGAATTAAGAATTTACTTTAACGAATAGTTTTTTGTAAAAAAAAAATAATATAAGAAAGATTTTAGATTGATTAATTATTATAAAATATCAAATAATAGTTTTGATTTGGGTTTATAAATCTCTAAAACATACATAAAGTACATTATTTACATGTGAATATATATACTATTTAGTTATATCTTTGGGCATAAAATTATATTAATTTATAACTTAAGTTTTAGACTTAATAAACCTACAAAATCAATTCGTAAAAAAATTATTATTTTTTATTTATATACACTACTTGAATTACATTTTGAATTAATGTGAAATCTCAATCAATAAAATAAATTAGAAAAACAAATGTTAAATATATACTTTTTCATCCATTATTTTTAGAATACTTATTATTATTATTATTATTATTTATTTAATAGATTTTATTCATAAATTTATTATATTTAATAAATTTTAATTAATATAAAATACATATTTTTAAATAAGCATGTTAAATAATGTTTTTGCCACCTTTATTTGAATCACGTTTTTCTTTTTCCTTTTTTTTAGCATAAAGAAAGACACTTGTTTTTATTCTCCTTTTGTGGAGTAAAAGCAACCTTAGACGTAGCTTTCAAGTATCAAGCTGAGAAGTCACATCGATGTAAATTTTGATTTTCGAAACAAGCATGCAGTAATATCGAGGTTCTCTCATCTGTGGAGTGGAACTATATTTGGCACAGACAATATTGTTTGATTTCTTCCTCCATTTTTCCTCAAGAAATATATTTTTTAAATAATTCTACATTATTAAACAATTTATTTCCTATTTAAATTTAATTATTTTTAAATTATTTCAAAGGTACTTGTTTTAAAACCCAAAAAATATAAACAACTTGGGATGCTTTTTTTTATATTCTTCTGCAAGTATTTAGAAGATTATTTTTTTTAAAATATAAATATTATTTTTGTACTAGGAGTTCATGTGTCTTTATTGGTAAGAAATTTTTTAAGTGATGACTAAAAGTAAAATTTTGTAAACTTAAGTCTAAAATGAACAATATTATACTAATGTGAAAATATATGTATGAGAGAACCCCCAATTTACAAGTGTTGTTAGAGTTTATGATTTTAACCAAATAATCAACTAGGCAAGTATGATGAAATAGGCTATAGATATGGATATTAGAACCTTATGTCAAAAGTCTTCCTAATTGTGAATCCATGTATGAAGAATTTTCCTATTAACATGAAGGTTAAAAAGTGTGTCCTGTTATCGTAAACCAACAATGGAATGACGTGCAAATACTTAGAGAATGATTAAATTTTACGAGCCATTATTGAATTACTAGTGGACTAAAAATATGACTTATGTTGCATAGGAAAGTTAAAACCATGGTCATTTGTTTG